AAAAAAAAAAAAAAAAAAAAAAAAAAAAAAAAAAAGTTGCACCCGGACACGCACCTAGACGAAGCAAAAACAAGACATTAGAATTGGGAAATTGAAAATGTGAAGTACCTGTTTGGTTATATGTTCCCATGATAATGGTGATCCCAACTTTTCAAGGTTTTCTCGTAGAGCAGTTCGCATACCGATTATTCGATCTGCCATTACCTGAATACAGAAAATAGGGTGAGGATGAGGGCGCCTATCAATTGGGGGAGGGAATAATGGTTGAACTGATTCTTATATATATATATATATATTATTGAATAGATTGGCCTCAGCCACAAGATTTCTCAAGACAGTTAAGTTTCATCTGAATGAAAATCTTCCATATCTGAAGATTTGTACTAAATAACCAAACAAGAAAATATTATTGAAGTTTGCCGTTCCAATTTGTTCAATAAGAAAATGAAAATCAGCACCTATATGTTTATCTCAAATTGAAAAAGAATTATGCACTTTGATTTTATTTTGACGACAAAAACGAAGCAGAGAAGTTCTATGACGACATAGAGCATAAATATATGGATATTGCCAATCAATCATTCATGATTACCTTAACTTCCTTCAGCCATAACTTCTTCAAGTCTGGATCCCCAAGGATGATTGAAACTACCAATGCTCCATGAACAGGTGGATTACTGTACATGGGTCGGGCAAGCTGCTGCAGCTGACTTTTCACAGCCACTGCTTGTTTTTCGTCTTCGCAGAGCACACTGCAATCAATTTCCATGTAGAATTAATGCCAGCAAATAACATATGAACTAGATAGCTAAAATTATAAAGCAAAGTAAAATGATCAATTTATCAGCTTAAAGACTCAAATTCATTAAACGAGGAATTCTTTATGAACTCTATTAATACATTATTCAACAAACTTGTCATATGCTTGGCTTTTAATGACTTCATTTGTGCATCTTCAAATCGGTAATGCATAACCATCAGATCTAACGACCACTACACTACGTCTGGCCAAGGAATTTATAGCTATTGGTAATTAAAATCACATCAAACTTCACCACTAAACAAAACTACACCGAAGAACAAATGGAAATGGAAATGGAACCTTGGATGTCGAGAGGCACATACCTTAGACATCCTACTCTCTGGCCATAGAGTCCCATATTTTTAGCGTATGACTGAGCAATTCCAATATGATGGCCATCCTCGAGAAAGATCCTGATGGACTTTGCATCTTTTTCTGGATCACCGCTAGCAAAACCTTGGTATGCCATGTCAAAGAAGGCAAAATGACCTTTAACCTGAAAAGATCACAATGCTCAATATCTGGCAATGAAGTAGTGGCAACCAGGTAAGTACGAATAATCATCCCAAAAGGTCTGACCTTAAACTGGTACGATATCTCTCTCCATTGTTCCTCCGTGGGATCCACTCCAGTAGGATTGTGAGCACATGCGTGAAGTAGAAAGAATGAACCATTGGGAGCATTCTGAACAGGGTCATCCAAATTAACAAAGAAAAAAAAGCATTAGAAGAATGAAATCAACAGAATACAGGGTGCCCATGAGGCACTATTAACGTGAATATTAGAGTTCTAGGGTTAGATAAGACGCCATGGAAATGTCGACATGCTTCAATACCTTTATGTCATCCATGAGTGCTGCAAAGTCTAATCCCCTAGACTCTGCATGATAGTAATGGTATGTCCTTTGAGGAACTTGTGCATCTCTCCAGATGTTATGGTGGCTGTTGAAAATCTTCATGTAAGAAACAGCATACCAATGAAGTAGTGTATTTTCCCTATGGAATTGGAGAATTTAAATGACTTGCATGCAGATTCAGCAACAATTCTTACTTGGACCATGTGGGGACTGGTATATAGATTTGGGAATCAGGAAGGAAACGCTTTTGAAAGTCAGCAAAAATACGACATGCTCCAGTTCCAGAAAGAGACTGTATAGCTGCTATCCTCTTATCTTTGACGAAGTCAGAATTATCTCCATAAGCCAGCTTCAGTGTTTCTTCCACCATATTTGTACTCCCTCCCATTGGAAGATACTCCCTGGTAGAATAGACAAAATGTCAACATTATTGCAAGGCCTCAAATAAATAAATTAATTTCAAGTGTGGCGCTCAAGCAGGTGACATGCCTTGTTTTGTGCACAAAAAATCAAGATGTATGCAGTAAAAATTAACCAAACACTCAGATAAATGTCGTCCAATTTTCCTTCCGATTATTCTCACAAACAGGTAGATTTCCAAATAAAAGTTTCGTGGAATGCCTATTCCCTTCAAGTTTTAGAATGCAGAAGCAGAACCTAATGCATTATTAGGTAAAAACGAATTAAGAACCTTCGAAGTTAAACCTACTCGTCAATTACTCTAGAAAACCTGATGCCAATTCATGGCTTACTATAATCACTTCTATTCACAAGTGCTAACTTAATCCAACAGTCTAATGATGTTGAGCGAGATAATTCCAACAGTTATTTAAGCACGACATTTCAGCTCACTTACATTGAAATGTCAAAATCTGAATCCACAAGAAAATAATGGAAAGTGAAAAAGTACGGGTATCAAATGCAAAAATTCCGCACTGTATGGACCATGGTCCAATTCCAGGGAATATAAAAGGAATCCATCTAGTTGGCGAGGATAGAACAATAAACTCGGTGAGACGACAGTAAAAAATTGCAATCACAGCAGCAAGTTGTTAATTAAATTATAACATGAAAATACGATTATACGAGTGTATCCAAACTAATAAGTTCTATATTAAAAAAAAAAAGAAAAAACTACGATAAATGAGACGACATCTTACATATTCAGGTTTCCTGCGATCCTCCGTTCAGCTTCCCTGACACATTCGAGCACCACCGGCTTTCCGTTATCATCTCGATATGCACCCTGAAGTGGAGGAAACGTAATGATAAATCTAAAGATTCACTGAAAAAGGCAGTACACGATCAAAAGATATAATAATTTGCCAATAAAATAATAATTAACAAATATTAGGAACTTGAAGAATGTTTTGAATCATACGAGATAGACATAAAAATTTTGAACTAATATCTCGGGCAGAAGAATCATTAAAATAATAGCTGATAGAGACAAGTCTCCTATTTCTAGATTCAACAAACCTAAACAGCTCACACATGGAATCCCCCAATATTTAACGACTTGACGAACTACAAGCTTAATTCGAAAGCTAATCGCATGCGCGCTCTCGTACCGGAAGCGTCAAAATTTATACATCAACAAGCTTAATTCAAGAAATATACAGAATACGGATGAAGCTAACAGTCTATACATCAACATATGGAATACGATTTCCACTCAGATCATAAAAATTTCGCATCACTCGTATCAGAAACATCAAAATTCTCATTCCGACATCGTGATCTTCGATGTTAAAAGGTCGAGAGAAGCAAAACATGCACAAAATTATTTTAAAATACACTGCACCAGCAATCAAACAGTAAACAAAGCAAAATCCAAGGTGAACAAGACAGGATGAAGAAGAAACTCACTACTCCGACATTGACTTTGCTAGGACTCGGATCGGCCAAGAAAGCTTCAGTAACGCCTAGAATCGGATCTTTCGGAGCCGGTTCCACGCTCTTCCACCAAGACGACATGGATCTAACTCCGACGCAGAAGCATCTCAGGCTCCGGTCTATCGCCTTCCTCGAAATTGCTGCTTGTAACGCCATGAACATCAACGATACACTGTAGCTCTCCCTCTCTCGGTTTCTCTCTGCAGAACTCCGACAGAAATGGGAGACGAAAAGTGGCGGAGATTTTTGAGAAGGCGCAAAAACAGAGTGGTTTCAGGTTTCAGGCTCCAACAGAAGAAATAGACATGCGAACCTTGAAATGCGCAGCCCAGATAGCTTTAAATACATTCAGCCAAACTTTTTAGGACGAACGTTTACGTAACCGCGCTTTTTTCCTTTTTCCTTTTTCTTTTTTTAATTTTCAATTTTGTAATCGTAACCAGAACTACGAGGAGGTGATTTTATCACGGCCTCGTGTCAGGTCGTCAGCAGGACGCAAATAGCGTTCTCTTTACGACAAACATTTTATATTTTCTTTTAAAAAAAAAAAAAAATCTTTGTATTATATCTGTATATTTTGAATTAATTTCTAAATAAATAAATAAAAAAATTTTAAAAAATTTTATAAAACCAATACCATTGGTTTAACTTTTGTTTTTTTTATTTTATCCCAAAGGGAATTTTCAAAAGCCAGAATTGCATTAGAAAATATTAAAACTGTGATAAATATATTAAATTAACTTTTTTTCAAATAAAAAAAAAAAACATTGGGTTCTTTTGTTTTTCGACTATATTCTTTTAAGCTTTTACTTTTTTTTATATATTCTTTATTTTAAACTTTTAAAATATTTATTTTAATTAATAATGAATTAACTTTAAAATAATAAAGTATTTATTTATCTATGACTTCTAACTATAACTCGTAATTCATTTATGACTATGTGTTCGATAGATCAACTCTAAAATGTTGATCATAGTTACATCTATAATAGTTTGTAGGTTAAAAGACTTACATATTCCTTAATCTATCCATCCATTGTTTATCCATTTGTACGAATAAAGTAAATATTTAAATAATTAATTATGAAAAAATACAATAATATGTATTTTAGGAAGCTTATATTAAAAAGTAAAATTAAAATTAAAATTAAAAAAAAAAACAGTAAATGACTTGGAAATGATAGGCATCAAAATCATATTTGTCTGTGGCACAACGGGAGACGTCCAAGCTGAATATATTCTTATTTTATTAATATTTCTACACGTGGATATTTTATTCTAAGGGATAAAATATTAACAAATCATACATCAGTTTTTTTGTTTTTTTATTAACAAACTTTTTAAATTTTTTTTCAGAAACTAATTGAAAATTTTTAATAAGAAAAAAACAGTAAGAACCAAAGTGAAAAACTGCCTTGACCATTAGAGTTTTCTTTTTTAATTTTAAAATTTAAATAGTTTGACAAAAAGGCATAGCATGGGGAACGTGGTTATTAAACCATAACCGTTCGCTTTATTATAAACGTAAGTTAAAACCATATTCATTATTAAATTTGTCCATTAGTCAAAATTATTATTTTTCAAAACTTTATTTTATTAAAATTAATAAATTTTTAAAAGAGTTTTACAATTTTTTTTAATTAAAATTAGTAGGAAAACATGGAAATTTTGTAATATTTATGAAATTGGAAGTTTTCCTTTTTTTTTTTCTTTTTTCTTTTGTGATTTTTTTTTAATTTATTTAGGAGAAATAATATGGTATCATTACAATTTTAATGCTGTCTATTTTGACCATGCGTGAATTAATATATATATTAAGAAAAGATTTAGTGCTTAAATTATTGTTTTTTTTAATAAAATTAAATTCTAGAAATTGACTATAGAAGTGAATTAATTTTTCATATCTAACTTTATTTCGGGGCATTTAAATCTGTCCACGTCATTTGAATTATTATTAATATATATATACATGTTTTTATTTTCTTACCCTTCAAATATTTTAATTGATTAAAAAATATGTTTGAGAATAATTTTAAAATATTTAAAATCACTTACCTTTTAAAATTAATTTAATATTTGATTTTATACTCTTCTGAAAGGTTTCATACATAAGAGTCAGATTCTCACCCATTTAATCTAATCAACTTTTATTACTCGTCTCATAATTGTTTGTTAGAGTCGAATGAAACACACGGGGAGCTAACGGAAGTATTTGAAGCAGTAATTGCCTTAGAACTTCCTTCATTTTTACTGTTTTCATTCGGATGGTATGACGATTTGAAATTTCATAATATGTTTGAGATTTCATGTCGGTTGGAGAAAGGAACGAAACATTGTTTACAAATGCATGTAAACCTCTTCCTACTAGACGCGTTTTAAAACTTTGAGGCTTACGGCTATACGTAACGGATTAAAACAGACAAAATTTACTAACGGTGAGCTTAGGCTATTACAAATGGTATTAGAGTTAGACATCAAGCGGTGTGCCAGCAAGAACACTGGCTTCGAAGAGGATGGATTGATTAGACATCGGGAGGAGGGTGGTTCGTGAGATCTCACATCCATTAGAGTGGGGAACTAAATATTCTTAGCGTGGTAACATCTTCCTAGTAGACGCGTTTTGAAATCTTAAGCGAAAGTACGAAAGAAGAAATCTAAATAAAACAATATTTAGTAGCGATGAATTTGAATTGTTACAATATATAAGTTTGTTTGCCAAGACAATACAAAATATAGTTATTATATAGTGAATATTCAATCCAACAAACTTTTATTTTGAATAAGAATATGAGTAATAATCAAGGGATACATGAAACTTCACGGTTACATTTAATGAGATTAGACGTTCCTAAAATGAGAGACACTAAATTCCATGAAGTCTTGTAACGAGACTGCCACTCTGGTGGAATAGGGTCATCTTCAAAATCATCAAAACACACACTTATACGTTTATCAACACTCATCGTCGATAAATCATACACATCTGTACCTGGTTGGGTCAGTAATATGTGCATTGATTCTTGTAATTTGGTGTATCCCATTCCAAAAGATTCTGAACACTTGTCATACATCAATTTTGTTTCAGCATCTATCGTTCCTGACTTTATCTCTCTTTGAAGGAACACAAGGTTGTCATTGAAATTGTTGATGGTATGATTCACGAATAAAATTAGAAAACCTGTCAAATTTGACTTCAAATCTTCACGAGGATCTGAATCAATCTCAGGAATGCAAAGCTTATACAGTTCGTTGTATTGAAATCTGTTGCAAGTATCATGGACAAACGTATCGTTGCTACTTCTATCCTCTTCTGCCATGACGATCATAGAGGGGTTGAAAATGGATAGCAAAAGAAGGGTAAAAACACCCGGAAGCAGGAGGGAAGAAGACATGTTCTTCATCTTTGACAATAATCATATCTAGAAATGGTAGGTATTTATAACTAATAAATTGGAAATTAGTTAAGGCACAGGAATCCTATCAATTCATAACGGAAATTTTAATAAATTCAAAAATTGTCTGTTATTATTTTCCTAAATGAATGGTAGCCATAAATATTTTCTTTAATTAAATAATATTTTTGTAATATTGAATACAAAATCATTTTATATATTTTAAATAATTATTTAAGGAAAGAAAGAAAAAGAAAACATATCCCTTATGTGATATTAAATATAATAAATTTGATTTTTTAATCGGTTCAAAATAATATTTAAAAGAAAGAGAGAAAAAAATGACGCAATATCTACCACTCAAAAGTGTGAATAGATATAAAAATATTATTGGTCAACCAAAGAATGCAGATATAAGAATAAGAAATATTTCACCACCTTAGATACAAGATACAAACTAATACCTACCAATAAGAAAATATAAAATAATTAAATATTGAGAATATCTAAAATATATTTCCTAACTAATATATTTTTCGAGATATTAAATGATTACGAATACCATATATTCCATAACTAATTCAAACTCAAAAAAAAGTTAATACCAATTTATTTATTATACGGTTGGTTTGGTTTGATTTGGTTAAATTGCAGTGACAGTAAACATTATTTTTAGCCCACTTATGTTCAAAGAATACGTTATTGTCTACTGGTTAAATTGCAGTGACAGCAAATTTCATTAAGCATTAAGTCCAGTTCTAAAGGGTACACGTGTTTCGGGCAACCAATCTGACCCGTTGATAAAGTTTTCTACGGTAAAGTTTTTCGCTAATTGTTTATCGATTACATAAAAAGTTGGCCAATTAACTCGGTGTGTTGTGTCAGCACCAGGACCTCGATTATTGAACTCAGCATAAAAGAGGTTGTTTATTGGTACCCCTTCCCACAATATCCATCCTTGTAGTTGCACGTTGTCATCCAAAAATGACTCCATGAACACAACAGTTGAATATGGTCTCCATGGCCGACCAAGATAGATTTTAACTTTAGTCTTATTGGCTGCTATCTCTGGCGAAACTGTGACGGTACAGTTCTGAAAGGAGAAGCCGCTTTGGGATATCGATTGTTCTTTGGATTGTGCGGTGACTGTGATTTCATCCATCGGTAACCGAGCATATATATTACAGTCTTGAAACACAGCAAGTCCATTTCCAAAAATGAAGTCTACCGTTCCGTAGATGTCGCACTCCCTAAAGAATTGGCGTTCTCCTTTTGAATATAGGGTATCTTGAAAACTTAGAAATCTGCAATCGTAATAAACCGTGTGTTTTGCGTAGTCAAGGACAGCAACTGCTTGGCCGTTTTGAGGTTCTGCAGAATTCTCAAAGCTTAAATGTTGGGCCATAAAATTGTCACCGTTGACCACTGCATCAAATAAGAACAAAGAAATTACCGCCTAATTTAGAAGGAAAAATTATTTGTGACATAAGCTTCAATAATTTTATATGAGTTATTGAACTCAATCACTTCTTATATTAGAGTATAGGATACGAATAATTACCTACGGTTGCAGATTCAGAAGTCTTGAATCCAGTGCCGTGGCTTCTATTGTCGACGATAATGGTTGTGAGTGCATTATCGCCAATCAAAGCAATGAATTTCTTGGCCGGTGGAATCTCAAGATGTCCACGGTAAATGCCAGGGGTTACATGAATGTAAAATCGTGCATTGGAGTTGTCTGGAGCGGCTGCTATTGCTTCACTAATGCTTTTGAAGTCCCCCGATCCGTCTAATGATACAACCGCATTAAAACGGATGGGATCAACGAGTGCCAAAACGTTGACGAAGAAGAAAAACAAACATGCAGCAAGCTGTAAAAATGTCATCTTCAAAGTAGGAGAAGAAGAAAACAAACAAGAGTTGTATGAACTCAAAAGAACAGGAAAGAGCTGCTTAAATTTGCGTGTCTTTTACAGCCTGATGGAACCAACATTTTATAAGGGGAGCTGTCATTTTCGATCTTTGGGAGCTTAACACAATTACACAATAACGTTTACTTTAATCTCTCTTTGTTAGTGAATTAATTGTTATTAATTAACATCAGTTTCATGTTGTCTTATTTAGCAGTTGACAACGTCAGTGTAAATGAATAAGTGAGGAGAGCTGATTTGCCATAAACAAGTTCATGAAGTAGGAGAGAATCAGAAGTGACTCATAGAGTATATGAAAATGGAAAGTTCTTACATAAACAGCCTGCACAATATTCTAAATCCAGCGCCGATCAGTTTCAGTATGTTTATGTAATGTTTTCAAACAATATTTGACCGTTTTGGTTAGGATTCCGGTGAATGCCCGATGATCATGGCCGGAGGGGTTCTCAAACTGCTGTCTCAAAACGCTGTTTGACCGTGTAGCATGTCAGCTTGGTCGGCGGCCATGTGTGGACGGAGCGTATGGTGTATGAACAAAGCATAAGTCACCATCATTGGTGGGTCAATCCTAAGATGTCATTTAGAATATTCTGCTGCATGCTATAAACTTCCCATTTCCATTTCCATTTCCATTTCGAACTGCAGAAGAGTTGATATAATAAAGTAAGTAGGAGAGGTGTTAAGGATATTTAGTAATAAATTATAGTTTACCATATATATTATATTTGATATTTTATTATAGGGCAAATATCTAATATTTGCTTTATTATCATAGGTATCTTTACATTTATTGTTATTTCCATTTATTACTATTTCTATATCCTTGTAATTCATTTGATTATAAATAAGATAACTTTCACACCATTTAGGTGTGGTGGATTAATCAAACATTCACAAGAGGAAAGGATGAACTCATAGACTATTAGGAAAAAGAAGGTTTTTGGCATAAACGCTGTAAAGATTATTCTAAACGCATTATCTCATTAATGAAGAAATGAATATTGTTTTTTTTTTTTTTTAATATTCTACTAAACACAATTAACTCCCATAATTTAATCATAATATCTCACTCCCAAATAATTAGGATTAGGGTTTGAGCCTTTGATTTTAGTTTCTTCCTACTCGAAAAAGTATTAGGCTTTAACATAATTGTCACTGTCACAAACTATGTGCCATTGTTTCATTAATTCGAAAGTTGGATTTATTAAGCTTGTGAGAGGTGTTTTTCGTGGCGTTATTAGACCATAGTTATAAACTTAAGAGTCCATATTTAAGTTCATGATAATCCATAATAATTAATGCAAAAAATATGTTGTATATAATAAAAGAAAAAATGAAATATCGATTTTATTAATTTTGATTTAAAAAAAAAAAAAAAAAAGTTTTATTGTTACTTTTCTTTGAAATTCTATGGTACTTATGTTTTATATTCAATCAAAATAATTTTTATAATAAAGTTTCAAAGACAAACGTATCCAACGGTGTAAACTTCAACAATTTTATTTACATTTTTTTAAAATAGAAATTAAGTTCATAAAAAAAGATATTTTTATACCTATATTTATTTGATTACCTTTAAAATTTTTAAAAATAAAATAAATGAGGAATTTTATTGGAGGCAATTCCTTCTATCATTCTTGTCAATCTTTCCCTCTATTAAGGTAAACGGTATATGTCGGAGAAAATATATAACAAAAAAAAAAAAAAAAAAAAAAGGCTTTGACACGTGTTGAGGCGAGTCCATACTCAAAGAGACATACTTAATGAGAACATGAATAATAATCCAGAGATATATGCAAATTTATGATTACATTTCATGAGGTTAGACGTAATTAAAATGAGATTTACTAAATTCCATGAGCAGTTCCGGATTGCATTAGCTATTAAAGAATTATAAATAGCCACTTTCTCGACTAGTACGGGCTTTCCTTCCCTTAATCTATATAGAACAGAATAAGCTTAATCAATTTAAAGACAAGAAACTGTTGTTGAGATTAGAAGATAATTACAATCCTACATCAAAAAACTTACTCGCCTAAAATTTCACTTCAGATTATTAGAAGAATACGAATTTCACCTATACAAAAACAATAAGTTGGCCACTTCTCTCTCTCTGCTTATACTTGTCTCCTCGATCATATTCATTTTTTTACTATTTCTTTTTTATTTTTAAATTACTTCAACTTAAAAGATATTTAGCCACTCTAACTAGGAATTAAACAAATAAGCTTTTTATTATTATTATTATTTTTATTTTGAGTTTCACTAAACACAAAATTAAATTAAAGTTAAATGTTATATATGATCCATCAATTAATTAAAAAAAAAATCATTGACATATTATATACAAAATTATTTATTTATTTATTTATTTGTTAGACACTTTTAAAAATTTAGAAAATAAATCCACAACCATAAAGTTTTTTATAAGATTTTTGTAGTTTAAAAAATATTTAAATTTAAATCAAATTCAATAATAAAATTAAGTCTAAAACTATTATTTTATTTTTTCAAAATTTGAGTTGGTCTTGAAAATAAAGCAATATATTTTATTTTATTTATTTATTTATTTATTTTAACTAAGTTTCATTTCAGTTTCTCGGTTATTTCGATTTTGTCGGCACCCCTGGTGGAGAATAAGTTCTCGAACGAAAAACGGAAAAGAAAATGTTTGAAATTAAGTTGGAGGTGTTGGGCCACTGCAACAGTTTTCAATTTTAGGCCCATAACCCGACAATTTAAAGGCCCACATCTAAAGCCCATAAACTCGGCCAATTTGAAACCCTAAGTTCGGCTACTTCATCCCATATTAGGGTTTCTTCGCCCCCTCCCTTGGATTGAGTAGCAGCACCAACATCAGCAACAACCCAGCCGCAGCAGCCCGCCTGAAGACTCCAATGGTGTTTATTTTCGCTCTAGATACTGAAAGCTTCTATAGCCAAAATTTTCTTCCTGCTCCTTAATCCTTTTCGTTTGTTCATATGGCGTAGGCTTCGGAGAAGAAGTTGTCGAACCCCATGAGGGATATTAAGGTGCAGAAACTCGTCCTCAATATCTCAGTCGGTGAGAGTGGAGATCGGCTCACCAGAGCTGCTAAGGTATTACTTTGTTCCGTGCATTTTCTTTCTTCCTTTCGGTCGCTTCTCATTTCTGTTTCCGCCATTAACGATTCCTTTTGCTCAGGTGCTTGAGCAACTCAGCGGCCAGAGCCCCGTGTTCTCTAAAGGTACATATTTTTCTCTCATCTTGAAGTCTCTTGACTTTGATTCTGGAATGGTCCGTATGAAAATAAGAAAATCTATAAACACCGAGAAATTTAGTATCGAATCTCTAGAATCCTTTCGTAGAACTGAAACTGATGTTATCTTTCGAAAGTCATAGCTTGATATTGGATCTGATAGGACGTGTTATTTCTCGTGTTTTTTATTTTTGATTTTCTTGTTCTTGTGGTCAATAGCGAGATACACTGTACGATCGTTTGGAATCAGACGTAATGAGAAGATTGCTTGCTATGTCACCGTTAGAGGCGACAAGGCGATGCAGCTTTTGGAAAGTGGGTTGAAGGTTAAGGAGTACGAGTTGCTTCGCAGGAACTTCAGTGACACTGGTTGCTTTGGCTTTGGTATTCAGGAGCACATTGATCTTGGGATCAAGTAAGCCATTATTTATCTTAATATCTCTTATATATCATGATCCAAAATTTCAATCAAACTTACTGCTTGATCCTCGGCTGGTCGAGTCGATTCTGTTATGCGTAGTGTATGAATGTGGTGAACTTGAAATGAAACATTAATTGAAATGAGGTGTATGTCAATTGCGATAGTAGTTTTCCTGCTCGGTTTCTCTGTAGTTGAATAAGAGACTGGGATTGCAAATCCCTACAGGGTTCTGGCTCGGGGATACTCCCGACCCATTGTGAACGATGTTATCGATATCTCTATAGGTCATGGTTAGAAATTTTCTGGGTTTTTGGAATTAGGAGTAGGGACAGTAGTCCTTGCCGTGTTCTGAATGAATTCAGCCCAATCTTTGAAGAAAACGTGTAAATAGATCTCTCGTGGCCTTTGGGTTGAAAGTTTTTGGAGGATGGGGAGTAGTAGGGGTGTACGCGATCTTGCATTGATGAGTCTGGCAACACTATGTATGAAGTTTTGTTGTTACGAATCTCGTTTTTATGTATGCTACAATGACGTTTCAGGTACGATCCATCCACTGGTATCTATGGTATGGATTTCTTTGTTGTCTTGGAGCGACCGGGATACCGTGTTGGACGTCGCAGGAGGTGCAAGTCTCGTGTCGGGATCCAGCACAGAGTCACGAAGGAGGATGCCATGAAGTGGTTCCAGGTGAAATATGAGGGTGTGATTCTTAACAAGTCGCAGCAAATAGTCTAAGAGTTACAAAATTTTGTGGTTTTGTAAGCCTGACTGAAGCTCTTTGTTTTGGTTTCTTTGAATGTTTTTGGGATTTAATGGAGATTTTTAGGATAAATTTGGGGAACTCTGTTAGTCATATGCTTTATTAGTTATATCCTTTGTGACCTGAGAATTAAGCTATCAATCTACCTGGTTTTTATTTTGTCACAAAAAGGTGAGTTCTTGATTTGTTCCGTTTATAAGTATTGGATTTTAAACTACATTAATTAGCTTTGTTTTCCTATTGGATTTAAATCTTGTATTTCTAATTTCTTTATATTTTTTAATCTAAAGATTTTCATAAAATTAAGTTTGTACGTTAATGTGATTGAACACAGCCTCTATTAGATTCAGGAACTATTCTAATTTTTGTTTTAGAACGCAGCCTCTTCTTTTGTGTCGTAATTTATTTATTTTTATCCCTTTAAGAATTATTATCATATTTATTAGGTTTGTCGTTAAATAAATGAAATTTAATTTAGAGTTCGGTTTCGTTTGATTTGAGTGGAAAATAGGGTAATATTTGTTTTCATGGAATTA